CAAGTGAAATGGAGACTCAAGGTCATTTTGGGAGAACTGGGAGAATGAAGGCTGGTTACAGACTGGTTTTGTCTGCCAAAGACTGTTGAAATGTAAAACAGAAAAATAGAATTTAATAAAATTTCAAATCCATCAGAAGCAATCCTATAAAAAAAGAAGTCCAATTCATTCCATAAAGTTTTAAAAAGTAATAGCCACAGAAGAACATGGGGTTCTGGCACCAGGTGCAGAGATAATAAGCAGAGCCTCAGAGGCTATGTCATGGGGAAGAAAATAAACTAATCAACTGCCAGCAAATCTCACTAGTACTTTACATATTCTGTATAGAAGCAAGCAACTAGAAAAATAGTTATGGCAAAATCCTCACAGGTAGATTCTCTTATTACTGGAAATGTAGGCCTGATTGTATAGTGGTTATGTATTGAGTTGCTAATCACAAGATCAGTAGTTCAAAACCACCAGCAATTCCCTGTGAGAAAAAGAGGCATTCGATTCCCATAAAAAGTTAAAGTCTAAGAAACCCCCAGGAGAAGATCTACTCTGTCCTATAAATAAAAATAGCAAGCTCACTGCCATTGAATCGATGCCAACCCATCGCGCCCTACAAGTCAAAGTAGATGGTAGGGAATTGGGGTTTCTCCTTCGGGTTTGTCTTGACAGCTCAGGAAAAGCAGAAGAAACTACCGAAAGCCCACTGCCATCAAATTGATTTCAACTCATAATGACTCTTCCTTTAGAGGATTTCCAAGGCTATAAATCATTACAGGAGCAAAAGGCTGGTGGGTTTGAGTCTCTAACCTTGCTATTAGAAGCCCCTGGCCCTTAGTGCCACCAGGACTCCCAGGAAAAAAAGGACACACACATTTACAGGACTTCATCTGAATTGAGAAAATAAACTGAAACCTCAGAGAATACTATTGCAGGACTAAGAGTACAACTCCAGCTACGATGGGACAAAATCTCAGAAGAGAAGAGACTGTCTTTTAAGGCAGACTGCACTCAGGCCTTTGTAAGAAAACCTTTCTCCAGAGCCATTCACCAGCAATCTGTGAAAAATGGTTCAACTCCCATATCAGAGCTCTAAAATTTAGCTCAGTAGAATTAACAGTATTCAGTTATGGTAACTAAATGCAAAAGGCAATCACTCATTCAATAAATTAAAATTAATTATGGTTGTTAATTACCGTATATGTGTCAAGTTGGCTAGTCTATGATTCTCAATAGTTTGGCAAATACTGGATTAGTTATTAGATTATAATGGAAATGTATTCACATTCCAAGTTGTGATTTGTTGTGATCAACCAATGGGTTGAAAGGGGAGTTTCACTAATGGCTGTGGTTTGCCTCTAAACAGCACTTCTCAACCTGTGGGTCGTGACCCATCTGGGGGGTCAAACGACCCTTTCACAGGGGTTGGCTGATTTATAACAGTAGCAAAATTATACTCATGAAGTAGCAACGAAATAATTTTATGGTTGGGAGTCACCACCACATGAGGAACTGTATGAAAGGGTTGTGGCATTAGGAAGGTGGAGGACCACTGCTCTAGAATATAAATAAATACTCCAGTAGAGATCTTTGTCATTTCCTACTCTACATTCATCTTGTAACCCTAACCTTTGACTCTTGGGCCTAAAACCCTTTGGCCTGCCACCTGACTTTCATGTTTAGATTTACAGCTCCCACAATCATGTTAGCCAGAAGAGGTTTCCAAGATGCTCCCTGACCTATGGAGTTAGATTTACCAGCCCCAATAATTGAAGGAGCCATTTTCCTGAAGTAAATCAATCTTTCTGGCTTGCTCTTTCACTCCTTCTCTGTATATAAACCTAGTTTTAATGCTCTAGAACACCTATGGATCACGACCCCTTTGGGGGTCGAACAACCCTTTCACAGGGGTTGCTCAATTCATAATAATAGCAAAACTACAGTTATGAAGTAGCAACAAAAATAAGTTTGTGGTTGGGGGTCACCACAACATGAACTCTATTAAAGGGTCATGGCATTAGGAAGGTTGAGAAACACTGCTCTAGAGAGCCCAATTAAGGTACCAATAGACCGTCTAGTCAGAGGTGCCCGTATTGTACACAGCTAAATAAAAAGGAACTACACAGGCACATTAGTACTATAGCACAATAAGATAACATTAAAAAAAAGAAGAATAGGGGATCCTGGAAAGATGGCACCAAGATAGAGTCGCCCGCCTAAAACTCCCCTTGGGTAGCCAGAGGTCAACAGTATGTGAAACCCAGGACTGATGACCCTACAGAGGGAAGCAGAATCAGGGTTCCTGGGGGTGGG